CCCTGTGGTGGCTGGAGAGTCTGGGGCCGGGCCCCAAGAGCCTGTCCTGACCAGGCGGGTCCCTCCAAGTTGCCAGTTTTCGGTGAGAACTGTGGTAACAGGATGCCTTCTTGTGTCTCTCCGCCTCTCCCCGGCCCGCCCGGTGCCTTCGACGATGCTAGGACCACTGTCGCGTCCGCTCTGGGTCCGGAATGAAGCGGAAGGGGCTGGGGAGAGCAGGCCCACCGAGGGCTTCGGGCCTCGGCTGCGACTCTGAGATGGGCAGGATGCCGGAGCCCGGCCGGAGCCCCGTCCGACGAGAGCACAGAGGCGGCGGCACAGGGCCCCCGTTCTGGCCACCCCATCTGCTGGCCGCGGGACTCTGTTTGACATTCCCCAAGCACCGACTGTGTACCAGGCTCAGTGGTGGACCCTGCAGATTCGGGGGAACTGGAAGACATGGTCCTGCCTTGGTGGACTGTGTGGTGCACACGCTGGTCTGTCATCTCGCGGTTGCACAGCTCATTTGCCTTGTGCACAGCTGCGTGAGGCAGCACGAGGCCCAGCCGGGGACAGGGTGCTGTGGGTGTCTGCACTGGAGCATCACTCAGTCTGGGGTGGCCAGAGGGGGCTTCTAGAAGGGAGGTGCCCGGAACAAAGTGGTGAGCAGGAGTCAGGCGAGTAAGGAGGAGGGAAAGAGTGAGCCGAGCAGAAGTAGCAGCCGGGTGAAGGCCCTGAGCCAGGAGAGGACTTACCTTCCCCAGCCTCAGTTTCCCCGTCTGTGAAATGGGCATAACAGTCCTCACCTCCTGGGCTTGTTGGGATGATTCGGTGAAATCGGGCCTGGAAAGCGAGCAGCCCAGCGCCCGGCGATCAGGAGGTCCCTGATGGCAACTGTGGTTCAGAAGCAGAGACCCCTGGAAAGACAGACGCTGTGGTAGACCCCTCCCAAGCTTGTGGGGGTCCTCAGAGGCCATCTCATCCAGTGGCTCTCACCTGGAGTGGTTCTGTCCCCATCTGGAGATGCCTTCGGGTGGTATCACTTGGGGGAGGGGTGCCACTGGCGTCCAGTAGGTGGAGACCAGGGATGCTGCTCAGCCCCCTGCAGAGCCTGGGACAGCCCCTGTCACCAAGGGTGGGTGGTACCGGGGTGGAGAAACCCCGTCTAGTCTGAGCCGCTTCTTTTGCGGGCAGGGAAACTGAGGGGCGTTGCAGGAAAAGGTCAGCTTGGGGTCCCTCTCACAGAGAGACAGGACGGGGCCAGGGCATGCAGGCACCGGTGCAGGTTTCCAGGCGACAGCCTGTTGGAGGAGAGCGGGAGGGCGGCAGGGAGAGAGGGAGGGGCCGGCCTGCTGGGACCTGAGGCCTGAGGCCTGGGCCCCGGTGGGGGAGGAGTCACGGCTCAGTCATTCTGGGGACGGAATTCATAGGCAGGAGCTTCACTGAGAGGCAGCAGCGCCCTGGGGTGTGTGCCTGGTGCAGGGGTAGGGGACGGACCGTGGCGTGGAGTCCTGGCCTTGGAGCTGTGATGACTTGCAGGGCGAATTCGGGGCCTGGGCTCAACTTGAGTGTCTGGGGCAGCTCAGACGTCCCCTTCTCTCTGCTCTAGCCAGGCAGGATGCCCCCCATCTGACGATGAACAATGGGGTTATGTAATGTTTGGGTAGCAGGCGCCTTACCGTGCGTTTACGCGGGGGTGGTGCCGCCTGGCTTGCTGGAAGGGCGGGTGAGGCAGGAACGTGGGAGGCAGGAACTCTGGGTCTGAGCCCTGTTTCTGCTGCTAACTTGATGTGTGACCTTGGGCCAGTCTCTCTCCCTCTCTGGGCTGCCAGTTCCCCAACAATCCACAGAGGAGTGAGAGCACGTCAGTGGCTCTCTAACCATCCCCAGGGAGCTCTCGGGTTCTGGTCCCCGGGGCTCAGGAGAAAGACACCAGACACCTGGGCTCTCGCTCTGTCCCTGCCTGGCAGTTCTGTGTGTTCATTCATTCATTCAGCTCACTCACTGAGCTCACTGGACGGACATTTACTGAGGCCCCATCTGTGTGCCAGGCCCTGGGCTGGGCATCGGGCTGCCCTGGTGTCAGGGAGCTTACAGTCGGGTGGGGGGCACAGCCTGGAGGCAAATACGACACAGCGTGGTGCATGCTGTGCTCGGGACCTGCAAGGGGTTTGGGGGCAGAGGAGCAGGGCAGCCTCTGGGGACCTGGCGGACTTCTTGGAGGAAGTGATGCCTAGACGGGGAGCTGGTAAATGAGTGGATTAGCCAGATAAAGAGGAGGAGAACGCGCTTGGCAGGCAGAGGGACCTGCAGGTACACAGGCCTGGAGGCTGGAGACGCAGGACAAGCTCTAGAACGTGTGGCTGGGTGTGGAATGCGGGTGGGGGAGGGTGGCAAGGGGAGGCTGGGCCATCGGGTTGGGGCCACCCTTAATCGGTTGGGCGTTGCCCCCTGGGGGAGCTTCTTGGGGTCCTGCTAACGACCCCAAAGGGGGCTGAAGCCCCCCAGTGACGTGACAGCCTCTGCAGGGGTGATGGGACAGGCCCCCAAAGGTTCCCCACTGAGGCTGCCTCCCTGTACCTGCCTGCCCCCCATTAACGCCAAGGGGCCCCCCGCCAGCCCCCCCGTGGCTCGCTGCTGTTCCACGGGGCCACCGCCGTCCCCTCGGGGAGCCGGCCCCCTGTGAGCCACCATAGGAGCAGGAGCCCGTCCCGGAGAGGCCCTCGGGCGCCAGTTGTTTCCTCTTTATTGTTTTTAATAACCTTTTAGAATCACTCAAGTGACACAAATCCATTGTGGAGAACTGGGAATTTCGGGGGAGACCGAGGGGAAGTCATGGCCCCTTTCCCAGCCTCCAGAGCCAGCTGGTGACAGTGGGGGGCCCCCCCAACGTGGATCTTCAAGTCCTGGTGCCAGGCCTGCCCCCTCCTCCTGCCCAGGTACCGTCCTGGCCGGGGGCCTGGGGTCACAGCCCAGGTCTCGTCTCCGAAGCGCCCCTTCCCCGTGTCTCTGCGTCCTGGCCGAAGCGTGGAGAGTTGGGCCCGAGCGCCCGCTCAGAGGGAGGCCTTAAGAGGAGGAGCTGGAGGGCCGAGTCCCTGTCTGGTCCCTGCTGTGGGAGGGGCGCCCGAGCTCGGTGCCTCAGTGCCTCCCTCTGTGAAATGGGCGTCCCTGAAGCCACTGTGAAGGGTGAGGGGGCGGCTGCGTGAGGTCCCATCCACAAAGGCCCAGCTCAGTGCCAGCAGGGGGCTGTTGCACAGATCCAGGCGGAGGGTGGGACCCCCCTGGGTCCACCTCGAGTTCCCCCAGGGGGAGGGGGCAAGGGGCGCGGAGGCCTGGCCTCTTTTGCGACCTCACGCTTGCTGTGGGCCCCGTGGGGACGGTGGTGCCCGCTCCAGCCCGACCCCAGGAGGGACGTCCCACACCCCACTCCATCTTCTCTGCTCTCCTCCCAGCCTCCCCCTCACCCCTAAGGAGCATCTGATGTGTTAGCCAGAGTCCTGTCTTGTTATCTCTTTGACATCTGACCTCGGTCGTTCAGGGTGCAGAATTCCCAAGGTTCCCTCTTTCGGGGGCCCTGCATGTCCCTTCAGGTCCCTGTGCATCCGGCACCCCCTCCCAGCCCTAGATTGTTCTCTCATGGGTGGGGGACAGTGGCTTCTCCACGTGCTCCCTCTGTGTATGGACCCCAGCTGTAGCGCCACCAGTGACCTCAAGTGCGGTTCTCCCAGAATCCTCTCCGTGACCGCAGAAGGAGAGTGGGCTCTTCACATGGGTCTCGGTTAGAGCAGAGCACAGCGGGGCACCTGAGCCCTTCAGCGGTGACCCCGGTTCCCCACCTCAGGTCCAGTCTGGGCTGGGCTGCAAGGACTTGCAAGTCTTGCCCTCTCTGAGCCTCCGGTTCCCGTCCTTAGAGCGGGCTTCATCACGGTGCCGTGCTCATGGCGCTGTTATGGGCAGTCCAGGAGCCTGGGGTTTGCTGAGTTCCCAGCAGAGAGGGGCCCAGCGGAGGTCTCAGCTGGAGCGGATGACAGCCGATCGCTCCCACTAGCTTCCCTCTGTGCTTGGAATCCTCTGCGGAAATGTACGTCCCCGTTGGAGTTGCTAAACTACCCGCAGGGGCCAACGCGTAAATTGGTTTAAAACAGCACATTTGAGTCCATAATACTAAAGATGATGCTACTGATTATTTTTTATGTCCAGACCTGTGCCAAGTATGCTACACCATCATCTCCCCCAATCTTGCCAAGATGGGCGATAGCCGTCCCCTTTTATAAATCAGGAGACTGAGGCTCAGAGAGGTGAAGGCACTTGTCTGAGGTTGCACAGCTAGCAAATGGTAGAACCGGGATTTGGATCGCAAAGGTGTGCTGCCGTCAGCTGGCCGGGTATCTGGAGGGTCCTGTGCTGGGCACTGGGGATACAGGGTGGTCAAGTCTGCTTGGAACAAAGCAGGGCGCCCTCCAAGCTTGCTGCGCTGCTCCTGCGTCTGTTTACACAGTACCCTGGGAACAGAGCTGGGGCGGGGCGTTGTGCATAATGGGGGGTGCAGGCGTGTGGGAGGAGCCAGCTGCTGGCCCCATATGGTGGCTCTGCCCACCAGCACTGCCAGCATCACCAGCCTTCCTGGCTCTGTGGTGCCAGGAGGGGCTCAGTGGAGAAGGTGGGGGAGGCGGGAGTGCCACGTGCAAGAGCGCGGCTTCAGCCGGGTTGTTGGTGTGAGTTTTGTTTTAGCCCCATTGTGGGGAGCTCGGGGCTGAGTGGCCGAGGGCTCTATGCACGGTGTCTGGGTTGATCTCATGGCAACTCTTATCCCCCTTGTACAGATGAGGCTCAGAGAGGTACAGTCACCTGTCCCAGGTCACACAGCTAGTGAGAGGCAGAGGGGGATGAGCCCACGACCCCTGTGTGGCCCTGTCTCTTTGCACAGGGAGTCACAGCCTCCGGGGCGCCGGGCTGGAGCTCCCGGCAGGTGGGCGATATTGGCATCTCTTTCACTCTCTCGCCTGGTCTGCCACCTCCAGGTACAAGGGCTTCATCAAGGACTGCCCCAGCGGGCAGCTGGACGCGGCAGGCTTCCAGAAGATCTATAAGCAGTTCTTCCCGTTTGGAGACCCCACCAAGTTCGCCACGTTTGTTTTCAACGTCTTTGATGAAAACAAGGTGAGCCCGGGACCGCTGGGGAGTCCTGTGCTGCCTGGACCCCCCTCCCTCCTGCAGCATGCTCAGCTCCCGCGGGCGCCCGCAGCGTCTGCACACACCCCCCCTCTCCTGCTGACGTACCCTTCTCGAGAAGGAACACACACGTGTGCACACTCGCATGCACACCAATGCACGCACATGTACACGTGCATGCACCCCACAATGCATATACGCATGTACACACATGCATACACACATACGTGAACACACATGCACTCTTGGTGCACACAAGTGCACGCACATACACAAACCCACACATGCACCACACGGAGATGTGTGCGCACAAGTATAGCATGCACACAGGTACATACATACACGCATGCACACCTATGTAAACCTTGACCTTTTTCTTACAAGCACAAAAATGGAAATGCCTCCAGAGGTCATAGGATTTATAGTCATCACCAACATTTACTGACCATTTACTGTGTGCTGAGCTCTTTCCGTGGATGCCTTTTAGTGAAGCTTGACAAACAGCCACCTGTGGGGTATGTCCTTTTAATATCCCCCGTTTTGCAGACGAGGAAACTGAGACTCTGAGCCTCGTGCAGTATGGGATCTTTTGTTCTGGCTTCTTTCACTGAGCATCATGTTCCCGAGGCTCATCCGTGTTGTGGCGCGTGTCCCCTCCTGGCGATGGCCATGCTGACGGTTGACGTAGCCACAGTCCTCCAGACTGTCCCAAGCACGCGTTTTTCCTGGCTCGCCCGTGTTCACCGTGGATTTACTGTGACTGGTTCCCACGCCCCGTGCTCTTGGCCCCTCGGGTGGTTTCTGTTCCCTCCTGCCCTGGCTCTCTCCCTGGGGTCCCCAGGCTGACAGTCACACTGCCTGGCCCTGGGAAGAGCTCTGCCGTCTCCCAGCCTCAGTTTCCTTGTTTGCAAACAAATAGGTGGAACAGGCTGCAGCCCTGCCCTCTGCCCGGGCCGCTGAGCCTGCGGTTCTGGGCGGGGGAAGGGCATTTGCCCAGAGAGGGGGGTGTGTGTTGGCGGTGCCTTCTGGCTCCTTCTCCCATCAGACCTGGAGTCAGCTCTCCCTTTAGCCCGACCCCTGCTTCCTGTCCTGTTTCTAATCCTGCTCCCTCCCCCTCCGTCCTCCTCCTCCTGCCCCTCGTCCACTTGGGTGGCCTTTGGCCATGGGTACCTGGCGCCTGCTGTTGTCCGTCACCACCCGCCCAAGGTCCAGCCTGACGCTGACCGAGGCCACCCCCACCCTTCTCTCTCCTGTCAGGATGGGCGGATTGAGTTCTCTGAGTTCATCCAGGCGCTGTCGGTGACCTCGAGGGGGACCCTGGACGAGAAGCTGCGGTGTAAGTCCTGCCCGGATGGTCCCAGGCTGGAGGGAGGCCAGACCGGGGCCAGGCTGACTGTCCGGGGCTGAGAGAGTGGCACGGCCGTCCTGCCTTTCCGTGTCGGAGGAGGTGTCCTGGAGGTGGCTGGGCAGGAGGAGCGTGGCTTAATCAGGCGGGGTGGACAGGTGGGGCAGGAACAAAGGGGGCGTTCCAGCAGGTGCGGAGCTGGGACCGCGAGCAGTGCAGCGGGCACTTCAAAGACTGGTTCGGGGCCGCCCTGAGGCCAAGTGGTTAAGTTCCCACACTCTGCTTCGGCGGACCAGGGTTTCTCTGGTTTGGATCCTGCGCGCGGACATGGCACGGCTCATTAGGCCATGCTGAGGCGGCATCCCCCATGCCACAACTAGAAGGACCTACAGCTAGAATATACAACTGTGTACCGGGGGGCTTTGGGGAGAAGAAGAAGAAAAAGAAGATTGGCAACATTAGCTCAGGTGCCAATCTTTAAAAAAAAAGACTGGTTCCCGTGCTGCATCTGCCACTTATGTGGCCGCTGTTTTGATGACTGACATCCCTTCATTCATTCATGCATCCCCCCCAACAGATATTGACCGAACACGGCCACTCCTCAGTGCTGTGCTGGAGGCTGGGAATCCAGGGCTGAATCAGACAGACAGGCACCTGCTCTCATGGCCGTCAGTCTAGCATGGGGACATTATTTTTAAAAATCCCGTAAAACTGTAACGGAGGCAGGCAGAGGGAGGTGTGAGCCGCCGGGAGAGGAGCTGACCCTGTTGAGTCAGGAGTGCGCGGGGCAGGGTGAGAGCTGGGGGGGAGGTGGGGAGAGAGTTCCAGGCAGGGAAACGGCAGGTGCAAGGCCCTGGGCGGGGGGCGGTGGGAGGAGGATACAGAGGGGAGAGTGTGCAGCCCCGCTGGAACCTGGGCTGCGAGAAGGGGACTCTGAGAGAAGATGCAGACCCTCAGCTCACTAAGACATTCACACGGCATCGCGCTGGCAACACGAAAACCTGACAGCGCATTTTTCTTTTCTTTCTTTCTTTTTAGTTTTAGGAATAAGAGAGAGAATTTTAGGGGCTGGCCCCGTGGCCGAGTGGTTAAGTTCGCGCGCTCCGCTGCAGGCGGCCCAGTGTTTCGTTGGTTCGAATCCTGGGCGCGGAGATGGCACTGCTCATCAAACCACGCTGAGGCAGCGTCCCACATGCCACAGCTAGAAGGACCCACAACAAAGAATATACAACTATGTACCGGGGGGCTTTGGGGAGAAAAAGGAAAAAAATAAAATCATTAAAAAAATAAATAAAGAGAGAATTTTATTTATGCAAAAGCTCCCCGTCCCCCCGAGGTGTATTATCTTATCTTCTGAGTTGACCGTAGCGAGTCCGGCGTGATTGGGGACAGGGAGCAGGCGTGGCCGGAATCCTCCATCCCTCAGTGCCAGCCTCCGAGGCCTCAGCTCTCGCAGACGCGCTGCCCGCTCCCGTTTACCTTTCATCTCTTTATTTTATTTTATTTTATTTTTTTGAGAAAGATTAGCCCTGAGCTAACTGCTACCAATCCTCCTCTTTTTGCTGAGGAAGACTGGCCCTGAGCTAACATCCATGCCCATCTTCCTCTACTTTATACATGGGACGCCTACCACAGCATGGCGTGCCAAGCGGTGCCATGTCCGCACCCAGGATCCGAACCAGCAAACCCCAGGCCGCCGAAGCAGAGCATGCGCACTTAACCGCTGCACCCCTGGGCCGGCCCCTTGTTTCTTTTCTTTAAACCCTAGTTGAAATGGTGCACGTATTCGTGTCACGTTTGTGTCGGTCCACGTCTAGCCCTACGTGAACATTCATGGGCCGGAGGAACATGGGGCCGTGGGTGCCGACTGTGTGCAGAGGTGCAGAGGGAGGAGGGGCGTGGCAGAGCCCCCTGCGCTGGGCTGGGGTGACAGCCCTGCTGCTTGGTTGCAGGGGCCTTCAAGCTCTACGACTTGGATAACGACGGCTACATTACCAGGAACGAGATGCTGGATATCGTGGACGCCATTTATCAGATGGTGGTGAGCGGCCCGGGGCCTGGGGAGTAGGGGGTGGCAGGAGAGGCATCTAATTTGGTGACGGGTCCTGGCCCGGGCGAAGCACCCCGGTGCGGCCGCTCTCCTGCCTGGGGAAGAGGTGGCCAGGTGGGGTCACAGCCTGCGGTCACTCTGCACATCTGCACCTCGGGAGGGAGGCCGGTAGGGGCTGGGGTGATGTTGGGGCTGGGGTGGGTGGCATGTTCCAGAGCAGAACAGCAGAGATGGTAGGGGCGTGGCGGGGAGTAGGCAGTCTGCATCTGGAACCAGCTCCCATCCGGGGGGCAAAGTTTTGGGCAAAGGATCCAAAGCCTGGAGCGCCAGGAGCCCAGCCCCCACCTTGTCTGTCCGTGGCAGGGGAACACCGTGGAGCTCCCCGAGGAGGAGAACACCCCCGAGAAGAGGGTGGACCGGATTTTTGCCATGATGGACAAGGTGAGACCAGGGTGAGGCTGGACCTTGACCAGGGAGGTAAGGCGTGGGGGCCTGGCCTCGGGCCCCAGTGGGCAGGGAGTGGACACCCCTCCCACAGGTGCCACTGACCACCTGTGGGCCTGGATCAAGGCAGGCGGCACTGCCTGGTGTGATGTCGCTGCTCCGCAGCCACCCCCATCAAGCATCCGGAGTTTTAAGTAAGTTTGCCCAACGCTTTTTCTTTTATCAGCTGAGATTCTTAGCCTTTTTAACTTTCTGCCACGGAGCCCTTTGGCGTTCTGGAGAAGTCGTCTGTGGACTTCTCAGAATAGCGGCTTTAAGTGCCTCCAATAACATCCACAGGATCAAAAAGGAAGCTGATTATTTTGGAATACAGCTTTCAAAATCTTTTTTGAAAAGAATTTGTGATGCAGGCTTACGTGAGCGGCTGCACGAGCGCGTGACATAAAGCATCGGACGCCGGGCGGGCCCGGCTGCAGCAGCCGCGACGTTACGAGCACGCCCGCGGTCCCCGCGCCTCAGAGTCACACTTACTGTGGGTTCTGTCGGGGGTCGTCACCTAGATTCACCAAGGAAGGAAAAGTTAAATTCCAGTTGGGAGTTATCGGAAAGAAAGACCTCGTTTTCCCCGTCTACATTTGCAGACCTGCTGAATTCTCTCCATAGACCCCAGGATAAGAATCCCTTCCAGTCAAACTTTTTTTTTAAAACCTGAAATAACTCTGTTTTAAATGAGAGTTTCATAGCAGGATGGTAAGGAAACCCAGTTTTACTTGCCTTCGATAAAAGAATATAAACTCGTGACCTCGGGCCGGACCCCGGTGTGTGCCTGGGAAGTGTGGAGCCCGAGGCCAGTCCTCCCTAATGGGGAAACGGTGCTTAGCACCTGTCGCACACGTGACGGTCGAGAGCCGTGTGGACAGAGTGCTGAGCGGGGGCGACTAGCTTACTCCCGGGTGGTCCGTTGCTGTTTAATGCCAAGGCCAGGCACTCCTTCATCCCCCAATTCACACCTCCCTAATTTTGGGGAACAAACACCCTGGAGTCAGATTGGCTGTAAGTTCTGGCTCTCCCAGGTACCGACTGTGGGCCCCTGCGAAGGTGACAAGCCTCAGTTTCCCCCCCCCGAGCAGTGCCTCTTCTCCGGGCGGCCTTGAGCGTCCCAGGAGATGAAGCGTGTGTGCTGGGTGCCCCGCGGGTGGTCCTTGAGGCCGGCCTCTGTGCTTGTGGCACCCTCGTCGTGCTTTCCCTCTCTGGGTGCGGGAGGTGGGGTGGTGGGCTCCAGGGCCTTTTTCTTTTGCTCTCACAGGTTTCCTTGAGAGACGCTCCAGGGAAGGGATTCTGGCCAAACTATCCCCTCCCCCAAGAGACCCACTGAAGTCCCTTTAGCTCCACCCGGGGTCCTCCAGGGCTCCGGTGTAGACTGCTCCGGGAATGGTTTAAATGCCCTTCTGAGAGTGACCCCAGGGAAATGCGTTAGGCTCGCAGCCCATGGGATTAGCCACCATTTCTGGGAATTAATAGCGATGATCATGGTAACTAGACTTAGGGGCGCTTCCAGGTTGCCTAGCACTTTCGGCAGCTTGAGCTCACAGAGCACTCACCCCAGTGCCCTCAGGGAGCCAAGCAATTATCTCCTGTCCCCGGGTGAGGAAACAGGCCCAGAGATGTGGGTCACGTGCCCCAGGTCACCCAGCCAGGAAGTGCCCGGCTCTGTCTCGTGCCGGACTTCCCCTCCTCCTGAGCTGTCAGTGGACCCGCCCCGCTTCCAGGGGAGGGGTGTCCAGGGGCTGGGTCAGAGGCCTCTGTCCTAGGAGGCTGGTTGTCCCTCCACCTTCGGCCGCCTCTCTCTGTTCCAGAACGCCGACGGGAAGCTGACGCTGCAGGAGTTCCAGGAGGGCTCCAAGGCAGACCCCTCCATCGTGCAGGCACTGTCCCTCTACGACGGGCTGGTATAGTCCAGGGCCCAGAGCTGGGGTGAGTGGAGGCGGACTTGGGGCCTGGCGTGGGGGAGGGGGAAAACCCAGCCACAGGACAGTAGGGTTGGCAGGTGAGCACCTGGGTTTCCTGGGGGTGCTTGGGGTCTGCCCAGTGGGGGCATACCTGGTAGGGGGAGGCCCAGGAGGCAGGGCCTTCAGATCAGCCAGAGCCCTCTGTTTTCGTCATTTTTATATACCCAGACCCAGCCTGAGAGTTTGCTTGAACAGACGTTTCCCTGGATTGAAACACTGAGGACACTTAGTTCTGACCCTCGTCTCTGTTCCGTCCTCCATGTTGGCTGGGAGGAAGAGTGAATGACCCCCACGGTCTGTCCAGCCATGAACACTCTTGTGCGTGGCAGATGATGCCTTCTGTCCGTATTTATCTAAGAGTAGAATTGCCGCGACGTGGGATCTGGGTGTGCTCAGCTTTAGTAGCTACCACCGGACAGTCTGCCCACGTGGGTGTCCCATTTCATACGCCCACCAGGAGTGAGGAGAGTTCTGGTTGCTCCACATTCTTGCCGACATTGGACGTTCTCTGTTTTTAATTTTAGCTGTTTGGGTGGGAGGGTAGTGATCGCTTGTTGTAATTTTAATTTACATTTCTCTGCGGAGCATTGAAGTTGGCATCTCGTCACATGTGTACCATCCGTTTTAGCATCTCCTTTCGTGAAGTACTGTGTAGTTATCTGTTGCCGCATCCTAGTTACTACGAGACAGCAGCTGAGAAGATCAAACGTCAGGAACTTGGGCACAGCTTAGCCTGGTGCCTTTGGCTCAAGGTCTCTTTTGAGGATGCCGTCAAGTTATCGGTAGGCTGACCAGCCAGCCCAGTCTGCCTAGGATGGTCCAAGATTTAGTACTGGAAGTCCTGTGTCCTGGGAAACCCCTCAGTCTCAGGTAAACTGGGATAGTCAGCAGCTGTTGGCCAGGGCTGCGGTCTCATCTGAAGGCTTGCCCGGGGCTGGTCCGCTTTCAAGCTCACTCATTTGGTTTGGTGGCCTCCATCCCTCACCATGTGGACCCACGTACACAGGGCCGCCTACCAACTTGGCTTCCTGCAGAGTGAGCTTTCCAGGAGGGAGGGAGCGAAACTGGAGATGAAAACCGCAGTCTTTTTATGACCTCATCTTGGAAGTGGCATCCTGTGTCTTGTTTTTCAAGAATGCCTTGGCTGCTTTAGACTATTGGCATTTCTCTATAAATTTTAGAATCAACTTATAAATGTCTACACACACACACACACACACACACTGGGGTTTTGATTGAGATCGAGTTGAATTTACTGTTCAATTTGGGGGAGAATTGGTATCTTTATATAAATGTTGAGTGTTCCAATCTCTAAAAATGGTGTATCTCTATTTATTTAGGTCTTTTAAATTTTTTCTCTATAACGTTTTATTGTTTCCAGCTGAAAGGGCTTTCACATCTTTTGATAGATTCATTCCTAGAAATTTGATGTTTTTGATGGTATTATAAATAGTAATTTTTAAATTGTAGTTTCCATTTATTTCTGGCTTGTGGAAATTCAATTGGTTTGTGTTTATTGATCACATTTCCATGATCCTGCTAGATTCCTTTATTAAATCTAAGAGTCTGCCTGAGATTCTTTTCAGTTGTCTACATTTTATTCCTTCCTTTTCTATTCTTCTGCCATTTGTGTCTTTCTCCTGCTTCCTGGCCCTGGCCGGGCCCTCCAGGCCAATGTCACATAGGAGTAGTGAAGGCGAGCATTCTTGTCTCTCTCTCCGTCTTGGGAGAAAGCTTTCAATAATTCACCATTAGTGAGGATGTTTGTTGTAAATGTTTTATGGATAGATTTTATCAGATTTAGGAGTTTCCTAGTTTCCTTTTTTTCTACTCTGCTAGGAGTTACTTGTTTACAAACAGCCGTGAATGGCGTTCATTTTATTAAGTTGTTTTTCTGCATCTATGAAGACGCTCACATGACTTTTCTCCCTTTGTTGTTGTTAATATGATGAGTTACGCTGATGGGTTTTTGAACACTATGCCACCCTTGCCTTCTTAGAATAAATTCCACTTAGCCATCATGTGTTACTCTTTTTTTATGGATCATCAGAGTTGATTTGGTGATATTTTGTTTAGGAGGCCCACGCTGTTCTGAAGCTTGTTTTATTATTATTGTTTTACACAAGAAATCCTTTTTCCTTGAAAAGACATTAGAATATGTTTTCAAAGAAAACCTCAATGAAAAGCTTATTTTTAAAAAACCTTCATATATAACCCAGATATAACCACTGTGAACATTTTGTGCCCAGAGTGATTCGAAAAGAATTGAACACTTACAAAGACTTAATACTCAGTAACTAGGTCACATAGAAACGTATAATCAAACCAATTTATAAAGGAACCATCATGCTTATTTCTATAATCTTAGAAAACTCGGGCTACAGCTCGGGGTCCCATGGCGCGTACTGATCCACTGTCGAATTCTTCAGAGTCTGCTTTTGTGAATTACCACCAGTGGCCTCCGTGGCAACTGTCACATGACCTGATGTATCTCCCCAAGAAAAAGTCATACAATGTAATTAATTTCTTTACAGTGTGCGATTATTTTTGAATCACTCTATTTGTTTTTGTCTCACAGTTTTCTCTGAATACATATGTTTATATATTTCCTCGGCAACAATGCGTTCATAACCATATGCTGCTGGCTGTTGTCTTTGTTTTTTGTGTTTTTTTCGCTGAAGAAGATTAGCCTGAGCTAACATCCGTTGTGGCTCTTCCTCTTTTTGTATTTGAGCTGCCTTCACAGCACGGCCACTGACAGACGAGTACTGTAAGTCCACACCCGGAACCAAACCTGGGCCGCCAAAGCAGAGCACGCCGAACTTAACCACTAGGCTGCCGGGGCTGGACCTGTTTTTTTTTTTTAATGAACAACTTATAGGAAACATTTTTTTCTTTTGGAGACTCAACACTAAGAAAAGATTTTTAACGTGTTTTACCTAACTTGGCTTAAAGTTCATGTCCTGCATTGTCCACACAGGCTTTCCTTAACACAATTGTGTAGACATGTATCTCACCCTCACCAGCGATATGTCAGCCGAGAAGATGTAACTTCATTTCTGCGACAAGCTTTTCAGAGTGACGAGATCCACCTTTCTATAGCAGTTCCTGAAAACTGCCCTCCTCGTTTTCTCAGGCTTCTTCTAGAGCCTACTCGATATTAATTACATGCAACTTGTGTGCCGTCATTTCTGTGATTTATTTGCCTTCTCAGATTCCTGCAGTGTCGTGAGTCTTAGGGGAATTGCTGTCACAGAATCGCTGCCTTATTCAGGAGCTGAGGTCACGCGTGTTTCCTGTGTCGCTCAGTGTTGTCTCGGGCCATCATTTTTAACAGCTGCGTAGTATTCCATTCTACAGCTGGGTCATAATTTAACCAGTCTCACGGTGAGGGACACTTAGATTGTTGGAAATTTGGGGGCAGATTAAAAGAAAAAAGTTTACTATTCACAGGCAACGGTAGAGAGAATAGTGTAAGTCCATGCACCTGTCACCCAGCTTCACAACCACCAGTTCACGGCCGGTCTTGAACCATCTAGACGGTCTCCCCACCACCCCGACCTGGGTTATTTTGAAGCAAGTTCAAGACATCATATCATCTCACACATAAACATTTCAAAATGTATTTCTAAAAGAGAACAATTCTTTAAATAATCCATAATGCCAAAAAATCAACAATAATTCCTCAATAGCCTCCAGTCTGCAGGTGGTCTTCCGGTTTCCTTTTTCTCACAATTTTTTATTTATTGGAACCAGCATCTGAACAAAGGCCACATATTGGAATTAGTTGATAGGCCTCTCTCTCTCTCTCTCTCTCTTTTTTTTTTTTTGGGGTAAATCTCTTAAGTTTCCTTTAATCTGTAAGTTTTCCCCCTTCCCTTTTTTTTTCTTGCTATTTGTCGAGCAAGACATTCTGTGGTTCCGCACAGCCCGGGTTTACTGCTTGCACCCCGTGGTGCTGTGACGTGCTCTGTTCCCTGCTCTTCCTAGAAGGGGCCGTTGCGTCTACAGGCGTGTTTGGCGTTCCATATGATCCACTTTTGCAAGGACGCGTCGTGGTGGGGTTTGTGTGTCCACCAGGTGGCACATGACGTCTGGTGATGTCAGCAGCCGTTGATGGTCACCTCTTCAATCCATTCATTCATTCATTCATTCACTCGGTGGTGCAAAATGGTGTGTTCTCGAGCTGCCTTTCCTTCTTCGTCGTCAGCTGGGCGACTTCTACAAAGGCAAACTTCCCCTCGTCGGCTGCTTGGTACCCCGAGGCTCAGTGTTTAATAGGAAAAGCGCGATGGGTACTTAATTCTTTCTCTTTATTTATCAGTTTTCAAAATGAATGGGATTCCTAACACCCTTTAGAGGTCACCAATGAAGTTTTTAATATATTCATATAATTATGCGTTGATGGATTCAAATGCATTTGATGAGTTTCATTGTGTTTGTGGTTTTAACCAGCAGATACAATACTGCAAATCATGAGAGTTTGCAGATCACCACAGAAGGTGATGGATGTGATTGAAACCCAGCCCAGCCTTGCGGTGTTGGCATGGGCACTGGGAGGCCAGGAGGACACAGGCCTCTCCCCTGGGGCGCTCTGGCCTGCCTCTGGGCGACTGCTCCAGTCCTCTCTCTCCCTTCATGCCTGCACCGCAACGGCCACCCCAGCTCTGGTCCTGCGGGGCCTTCCTATTCCTCCAGGGCCACCTCCACATTGCTTCTGATTGGCCCAGATAATGTTTTCAAATCACCTCACACAAATCAGGGAAATGGTCCCCTTGGATCAGACACCTACACCTGTCCAGTGAAGGGAGCAGGGACATGTGATTTAAACACAGGCATGGAGCAGGTTACAGAAAGGATCTGTAGATGGTGCAGACGGTAACAGACATGACTGTCCCCCATGCTGCTGCTTTTAAAAAAAATTTATTGAGGTGAAATTCACATAACATAAAATTAACCACTTGAAAGTGAGCAATTCATTGGCATTTGGTACTTTCATAATGTTGTGCAACCACCACATCTATCTAGTTTTAAAACATTTGCATCAGTCTAAAACCAAACTCCATGCCCATTAAGCAGTTTATCCACACACCACCACCCCCGCACCGCGACGCCAAGCCCCAGGCAACCACAATCTTCTTTCTGTCTATGAGTTTGTCTATTCTGGATGTTTCACATAAATGGAATCATAAATATGTGAACTTTTGTGTCTGGCTTATTTCACTCAGCATGATGTTTTCAAGGTTCATCCGTGTTGTAGCAGGTGTCAGTACTTCATCCTTTTTTACGGCTGCATAGTACTCCATTGTATGGATGTACCACATCTTGTCTATCCATTCATCCATCAACAGACACTTGGGTAGTTTCCACCTTTTGGTTATTGTAAATAATGATGCTGTGAACATGGTGTTCCTGGATTTTGTTGGGCACCTGTTTTCAATTCCTCTGGGTACGTACCTGGGAGTGAGATTCTTGGGTCCTTGTTAATTCTGTGTTTAAATTTTTGAGGAACCACCAAACTGTTTGCACAGCAGCTGCACCATTTGACATTCCCACCAGCGACGAACGAGGGCTCCAATTTCTGCACACGCTCGCCAACACTTGTTATGTTCCATTTTTTTGATGATAGCCATGCTAGTGGGTGTGAAGTGGTATCTCGTTGTGGTTTTGATTTGCGTTTCCCTGATGACTAATTCTGTTAAGCATCTTCTCGTGTGCTTATTGGCCGTTTCCTGCATTGTTCTTAATGGGTGCAAACCATTTTATCCTATGGCTGTGTCCTCATTTATCCGACCAATCCCCTGAGAGTGGACGCTGGGCTTGCTCCCTCCCTCTTAATTTTGCTGTTACTAATGATACTGTAGGAAACATCGTATTTGTTTCTTAAGGGTAAATACTCAGCACCAAATGGGAGGGTCAGAGGCTGTGCACATTTTAGGATTTCTGACATACAACGCTGCTTTGTCCTCTGGTTGGACCCCCTCCCCCGCCAGCTCTGTGTGCATGTGTCCTCGGCAGCCAGCGCCAAACCCGCCTCACCTCCTTGTGTCTTCCAGATGCCTGGGAACCACTCACCTCCTCCCGTGCCATGAGGCCACCTCAGCCCCGACACCACCCTCCCGTGTCCACCCAGCCCTTCTCCGCAGCCACGCCCAGCCGGGCTGCCCTGGAACCGTGAGGCCCGGCTCTCCCCTCCAGCCCTGCACCACCCCGGCCCCACCACCGCCTGAAGCCAGTGGCTCCAATTGCCAACCACCTCTGCTTGTCCGGAAAACAGCAGCACGGAACGGAGAAGGCTGCAGCCCCCTGCAACAGCCAGGACGCGGCTGCCTCACCGCAGCCCCCGGTTCCTCCCGCTCTCCTGTGTGTGTGCGTTCATTTTTTATTTCAAACAGACATTGAAAAAGAAAAAAAAAACTACCTTCTGTCCTAGAAGATACGGACTGACAGATGTGGAGGAGGCCTCGGGGACTCAGGGAATCCGCCCCGTCCTCGGGCAGCCAGAGAGGTCGCGGAGGTCCCGGCCTGGCCACGGGTGGGCTCGGGATGCTGGGGGGCTGCCTGGTTCGCGTCCTTGGTCCCCCGTCCTCCAGCAGCAGCACCGCCTCCGTGGCCAGGATGAGTAATGATGATGATGATGATTTTTTGTGATAACAGTATTGTGCTTTTTGTGGGGAAAGTGAGGTTTTTTTTGATACATATAGAATTGATATCTTTTATTTATTGGTGTTAACTGTTGCTGCTGCCTCGTGTGTCCGAAGCCCCCAGGGATGCGGGGCCCCCCGTTTACATGTGCACGCCCTCACCCACCTGCCCAGCGCCTGGGAGGATGGTGGCCTCCGCAGCGGCCGAGAAGCCAAAAACCTTTTTTTTTCTTTTTGGATACTGTGCTCCATGTTTGGAGAGGGGGAAGGTGGGTTTCTTAAATGGCTAATGCACTGTTCCCTCCTGCCCGAATGCCTCCTCCTTGAACCTTTTCTCTGCTCCCTGTGCACCTTCCTTCCTGTCCTGTGTCCTCCCCTGGGTCCATCACATCTTTTCCGAGGACCCCAGGGGGCATCTTTCGGTTTCTCCACTCTTGCTTTGGTGTTTGCAGTAGCCTGAGAATGGAGAGGCTCGTCCTGAGACGGGAGCCTGGAAGCAGGGATGGGTACATAAGGAAGGAGGGAAGAGGGGGTCTTTGCAAGCAAGTGAGCAGAAGTGAAGGCCCTTTCTCCATCCTTGGTGGCTTTTGAAAATCTCTCGGTTTTCTCCCACTCTGCTTTCCTGCCTGCCTGTCTGCCTTGTCCAGTAGACCACACAGCATCCTTCTTGCCTTCCCTCTCTCAGCTCCTGCTGGGAGGGAGGGGAGGAGCAAAGGGCTGCAGCCAGTGACGTCCAGGTAGTGGCCGTCTCTTGGGGCTGTGGCCCACGTGTGTTCACAGGGAGCTTCTAGCTCTGCCTGCCACTGAGACGGGCAGCCCCAGACCCACCACCAAGAAAGTCAGACAACCTTGGACCAGGGGCCAGGCCCCCGAGGCTGGCCTTGCTCTGTGATTGTGGGCAACCCTCCGCCCTCTCGGGGCCCAGCTCCCCCAGCTGCAGAGCCAGACGCCTGGGCTGGTGGACGTGAAGGCGCTTCCGTGCCGACACCGTATATTCTGAGCCTGGTCTCCTGCAGTTTGCGGTTCTGCGGTCTGTGGCTGCGTTTGCTGGACCTCAACAGATGCGGGGACCGTCTGAGTCACTGTTTTGTCTCTTGGCACAAGTCCTCTTGGACACAGCAGCCATTGGGCCTGGTCTGTGGGTCAGATGACACACCTTGGCCCTCCCTGCAGGGCTTCCTGGTCCCTCCTGGACTTAGGAGTCATCTTTTGGCCCAGAACTAGTCCTCACCCGGGGAAGGCTTCTGGGGTGAGAAGCAGCCCCCCAGACTGTTTAGGGCCAGGCCTGAGTCCAGAATTCCTGCTGCTTCCTTGCACAGCCAGCAGCCTGTGATCCCCCTGCTCAGCCTGCCCAGGAGCGGAGGAGCCGGCCCTCGGTTCCCGCTGAGAATCGTCCTCCGTCTCCACTCGGCGCTTTCCCAGGAGGCCTGAGCGGCTCCTGCCCATTCCCCTCCGCCAGCAGACCCTCTGCCAGAGAGTGGCTTGCATGGCCATTCCTGTTGGCTGGACCTCAGCTGGCCCAGCCCTCTCTCCCTGCCTTTAGCAGGCCCTTTGGCTGCGCTCTGGCTCCACTGTGAGCCCCCCAGGTCCTGTGGGGACGGGGAGCAGTGGTTCCATTTTCACAGGCACCTTTGAAGGCTGGGCTCCTTGAGGTCACCCTCCTGCTCAGGCCACTGGCCCACGAGGCCCAGGACTCACCGCCAAATCCTGCAGCTCCTCAGCCTGCTCTGCCCTAGGTTCCTAGGGCAGGAGATGAACTTGGACATGGGGTTGGAGGGGAGGAGAGTGAGGCCTGTCCCGGGTCAGGCTGCTTCTCCGGGCTCAGCCTGAGCCTCAGTTTGTCTCTCTGGTCCCGTGGGGAGGAGCTGTTGTGCAGCCCGTCCTGGAAGCATCACGGGAAAGGGCCTGTGACTGAGTCCCCCGGGGCTGAGCAGGCAGACCCCTCCAGGGTGGAGATCTCTGAGTGTCTGTGGGAGGCCTTCCTCCCACCTCTGTGCCCTTTGGCTTTTGGTTTGGAGCCATGGTTGTGGCTTTTGGCCTTAGCCAGGATCCCGTGGACCCACGCCTCAGGCACACCTTGTGTCCATGCCCCCAGACAGCCCAGAGCTGCCAGAAGGGCCACCCTTCTTCCTGGAAGGGTGCTGGACACTGGCCATTAGCGCCCAAGCTTGCCAGACAGGGACAGTGCTGTCCCCTCCTCTCACTGGGCCCCTAGCTGCCGCACCCTCGGAACCCGGAGCAGCCCATGGGCCTCTCTCCCCAGCCCCATCAGATGCTGCTGTCTGGGGATCCCAGACCAGGCGGAAGCTGGGCTCTGCCCCTCTGCCATCCTGGCTCCCTGGGCCCAGGAGCAAGGTCCAGCCTCGGGCAGCCAGTCCTCAGCGGCCCTGGCTTCTTGCTCACAGCGCCTGCTCCCCGCTCTGTGTTGATGGTACTTAGGAGAATGTCCCGAGTTTGCAGTGTTTAACCAGGCGACGGTCAGAGTACGTGTCCCCCTGTTCCCCTGAAATGCTTTTCAGCTTGCCACCCACCTCCTAGACGACAGGTGCACCTGGGCTTTTGGGGACATTGTCTGTTCTCTGTGTGTGTGTAGGGGAGAGGTTGGGGTGTCGGGGTGCCCCCGGGGAGAGGCAGCCTCCCCCTGGAGAAAACCCCACTGCCCGCCGAGCTTGGAAAGCTCCCCGGTTGCCAGCTCAGCTTCAGCTTCCGAGGGAACGTGGCAGCGCCCCCTGGCGGCGATGAGCTGCAAAGGCCTTTGGGGCCCCCACCTGCCGAACAGATGATTCCAGAGGGAGGCTGCAGGTGGGGAGGCGAGGAGGGGCTCTGACTCCCCAGGCCAGGGCCTCCAGCCCCACGTTATTGACAGCGTGTCTCCCAGACGCCCCTCTTCAAGGTCTTCCCCAGGGGTAGCAAGTTAATTAGCAGAAGGGCACTGTGATGGGAAGCCTTGACCCCCTTTTTTTAATATCTGCGGAATAAACCCAATGGTTGATTTTTGAATGAATAAAAGGCTTTTGCTGAATAAACAGCTGGTCCCATCTTCTGTCTTGGCATCTAGGCTCAGGCTCTGTGTGCTCCCCAGGACTGGGACAAATGCAGAACCCTCACCTCGCTCCCCCAAGGCTGTACGTTTCCTTTTTCCCATGTCTTTGCAGGGGCCTGTGGTCCCGGGGAGGGCCACGTGCTCCCAGTCTGCCTCTGACCAGCTTTCTCCAGGACTCTGGGCAAGTCACTTCTGCTCATTGGGACTCAGTTTCTCCCTCCCTCAGATGGGAGCGAGAGCCCCCGCTCAGCCCACCTCACAGGGCGTTAGGGGAGCGGACAGAAACATTGTCATCAAAGCCCCTGGCAGAGGTGAAAGGCCAGTGCAGGGGCTGCAATCTCTGGCGCCTCCACCCGCAGCCTGCAACTTTGGAAAGAAATTTGGGCAACTCTTACAAAAAAAAAAAAAGGCGATGCTTCTTGGCCGTGGTCGTTTTCTTTCTGTTTGCCTTCCCAGCCCCCTCAGAGCCTCTTTTTGGGGGTGCTGTCCTGTCTGAATCTGCTGGTGTGTGTCTCTGGGGGAGGGGCAGGCCCTGGCCCCGGTGGTGCAGGCGGGGGCAGGGCCCCGGGGTGGACAGGCCCCGTGGCATGCCCACGCCTCCTCTCGTGCTCCTCTTGTATGTCGTCCATGTCACGCCAATTAAACACGCTTCCTGACTTGTTTTTGTCTCCCTTGTGTGGACCTGTTGCTTTGTCTGTTTCTGTTCTTTTTTTGTTTCATTTTAGGTTTCTTCTTCCTCCCGTGACACCCTTTCTCTTGCTTTGGGTGTCGTCTGCCCGGTTTCCCCAAGAGAAAGAATGTGCAGAGTGAGAGCCACAGGCATAAGGATTAAACCGGAACATTTCCAGGAGTGTTTCTGGGAGACCAAGTGTTCCGTAGAGTGAGCCCCCCACCCTGTGTATCACTCCCGGCATCTCCATTGCTGCCCATTTCATCTACAGGGGTCTCGAAAGGGTTTCTCTAAAGGTTTAAAAATGTCTGAAAACAATCGGCCTAGCCCAGTGGTTCTCAGATCAGTGTATGTCCGAGTCACCTGGAGGCGTGTGGACATCCAGTTGCTGGCCTCACTCCAGAGTTTCTGATTAGCTGGGTTTGGGTGGAGCATAAGAATTTGCATTATTGACAAGTTCCCAGGCCAGGCTGATGCTGCTGGGCTGGGGACCACCCATTGAGAACCCTGGGGAGCTGTTTGCCCTGCAGGACCTCCAGATGGCTCCTAAGGAGTGCTCCTGCCTCCATTGGCCTGGGGTTCAGGCTAATCACTCGCCAGGATGTGACTCTTGCCCCCGTGATGCGGCGGGCATTGATGACCCAGGGAGCGGTCGCTCACTCCGTGGAGGGGTGCGTCAGGAGGGGAGGCGGTCCGTGAGTAGCTCCCGTGGGAGCTCCGGGTGACGGTGATATCACATCAAGAGCACAACTGCCTTTGGAAATATATTATTGCTCTTGGCCAAAGGCTCTTGAAAGACACGTGACTGTGTAAGTTGATGAGGTCAAGCAGCCAACATTAGAATGAGCCACCACCCGCAAAAATAGGTTGTGTTTCACAGTTGGTTTTGTGAAAGGAATTGTCAGACCAACACCACCTGCGAGACAAAGCTGGCAGCCGGACAGCATCCACGGGGGGCTTAAGCAGCCACTGAAGAAAGGGATGCAAAGATGGCGCCCTCCAAGGCCACGCCGGGCACCCAGCATTGTTACTCGCTCTGGCAGGGTCTGGAGCGAACATGCCAGAACTCCTCCAGCCACACGGGAGTGAATCAAAGGCAACGTGGGAAGGCAGTGTGGGACAGTGGTTAGGGGCGGCACAGGTTCCAGAATCAGACTTGGTTCCCAGCCAGGTTCCACCACTTGACATGGGACATGTGTTCTAACTGACAGGATTTTCTAGTAAAGATGTGGACGCCCAATTAGAGGCAGGTGATGGCTCCACCCCCCTCCCCAAGAACCTTGCCACCCGATGGAATGTTAACAACAAAAGCAAGTCTTATCCTGCCAAATGTCCAAATATTTACTAGCATGCAGGTACAAAAGCTGTCATACACCGTACCGGCCTTCCGTCCAAGGAGTGAGGGGACCCAGAACCCAAGGACAATGTCCCACAGCACTGAAGGCCTCAGGCCGATGAGCTCTCTCCCTTGTTGGTGCAAAGACCTGAGCTCCGGGCAATCTTTCTACCCAACCATTTATCTGGATCACCTCACACTTCAAATGAAAAGTGACTTCTAACATCCTTCTGTTAATGAACAAACTCTGTGGTGTAGATTTTTAATAACACGCATATTTAAAATGCTAATGTGATGCCTTCTTGAGAGCGGGTTCCTGACTGGGGTATTTCAATACTAAAGGACCGTCCCTGAGGTGGAGGCTCAGGTAATTTACATGCACGTTCACACTCGATTCCACCAAAGCGGTGAAGGGAAAGGAGGGCACAGACCCTCTCTGGGAAGACCTGGCTCTGGCTCAAGGGCCCCGTGCGAGGGTGGCGGGGGCAATGTTTCCAGCATATGGTGAGCTCGCAGTGGGTGTTAGCTGTTTCTGGAGGTGACTCCGGTCTTTTCCAGGCAGCCCTGGGAGGCTCTACAGGGACAAGGGTCAGAGCCCCTGCTGCTGTGGGCACAGGATGGGTCATAGTCCCTTGCTCTGGGTCAGGCTGAGGTCTACCCTGGGCAGCCTCCTGTGGGGTGAGGCCCATTGGAGGCACAGATCTGGCCTCTTCCTCACCATCTGGGCCACATGCTTTGCCAGAATGGCTCAGACTGGCTGCCGTTCCTTGGGGACGATAGCATGGGTGAATCCCCCAGGATGACCCATTCTCGCCACTAAGAGCCTTCCCCTGCCCTCCCAAACCCCAAACTCATATTTGCATGTTAGAAAGTATCTCCCTAAATTTTACTCCCCACAGCTGCCTCAGGGCATCACGAGGCATAGAGAGGAGAAGAGAAAGAGAAGAGTGGGCGGTGGGGCTGGACGTGGGGAATGCCACGCGGACCCCTGTCCTCCTGTGGTCGCCTCTTCCTTGAAACTTTCCTGGGGCGGGCCCCTGCAGCCTGTCCCTCGGGCACGTCCCACCGTGACAGTGTCCAGCTCACATCCAGGGACAGAAACCAGAAACTTTATATCCTCCAGGTTCCCTGGTCTGGAGAAGCCGGGTCAGGGTAGTGGCGGGGAAAGGGGCTTTGAAGGCCGCCTGAGTTTAGGAGAAGTGAGCTCACATAGCTCCGGGAGAGCCTTCCACTTGTTCCCGTATCTCTTGACCCCTCTTTAGCTGCGCACGGGTCAGCGCGGAATAAAGGACTACATTTCCCAGCCTCCCCTGCAGCCGCACGTTGCCACGTGACTCAGTTCTGACCAATGGGATGAGAGCGATGAGAGCAGCTTCCCGCTCTCTCCACCCTCGGGCAGGACGTAGGACGCCAAAGGAGCTTTTCTGGAGCCCGCGTCCCCTGCCGCGTGGAGCCGCCGCAGCAGCCGTGGACCATCTACTCTGGACTCTTAGGAGGGGGAGAAGCACACCTCCATCTTGATTAAGCCGTCCTGGGTCTCTGTGTCAACAGCCAAATTTATATTCTACCTAAGGTACTGAGTGATCCGGTGGTCGTTTTCAGTGATCGGATGCCACCTACAAGTGTTTGTATCGAAACTCTCACTGTTTCCCAAGTGATTCAGTAAAAACCTGTACAGTGCGATGCGCTCCCCGCGTGGCCGCTTCTCGCCCACGCCTTCCCATCCCCTCTTCCCTGCCCACGTGTCCCCCTCCACCGGCTCCAAGCGTCCCAGTGGGAAGGCCTCCTGGGGAGGGCTTTCTTTTGCTGAAGGACTAGGGACATAGTGGGGGCGGGGGGCAGAGAGGAGGCCCCATAAGCAGGAGGCCCCGGAAGATTCGGCCAGCTGTGTTTTCCCTGGGAAGCCACAGTGAGAGGACTGGGTGGGCTGGCCTCACGTTGGGCTCAGGAAGGACCTTGCCAGGGGCCTCGAGACGGGAGGCCCAGAACTCCTCACCGTCTCTTCAAACTCCCACCTCAGGAACTGTGCCCTTCCCCCAGAGACCTGAAATAAAGCCATCGCATAAGCAGATCTTAGAAGTAACAAATGTGATGAAGCGTAAAACAGCGTTGTTCAGAGAGCAGGATGAAGGGCAGGGAGATGTCATCTGGCTGAGGCGGGTCCTGTTTTAATCACTGGACCGTTCATTGCCCCAGTGGCGAGGGGAAGTCTTCGTGATATTGTAGAGGGCTCACTTTAATTTTGGAGGATTCTGAAGACCCAATTAATATGTTACATGTCAAAAGGCCTTCTCGCTTTTAGAAGGAGCAGATTTGTGCAACATCAGAGGCCAGAGCTGGGACCTGGGGGTGAAGGTGGAATGGGCTGGCCTGGGAGGAGAAGGGAGTGAGCTCGCCGTCACTAGAAGGGAATCATCATCATCGTCAGGGAAAGTCTGCAGCCCACTCTGAGGTTCAGATTCTATACCGACGCTCATGCGTCAAATCAACTGACCCAACGCTGGATGTTTTCTAAGTGATTTCTAGGCAGCAGCCTAAACGTCCCTGGAGTCCTTCACCAGCTTCCACAGGGATGAACGGGAGTCTGGCACGTACGCTGGGCGGTCACAGTGTCAGGCTTGGGCTAGAGCCTTTGGTGAGCGTGCTGGTGGCTCAAGAAAGAGGACACACCCCTAGCAGGTCAGGACCACCAGCCACAGGTGGGCACTGCCGACCGAGTGACCAAGTATGCAGCAGGGTTGAGCTGTTCTCACCACTTGCAGTCCCCAGGGGGCCTGCTGGATGAGGAGGGACCCGGGCTGCCCTTAAAGAATGACAGGATCTAGATGGGTAAGGAGGAGAGGGAAGGGCATCCAGGCAGGGAACAGCAGGTGCAAAGGTGCAGAGGTAGGATTATAGGAGATAGCCAAACAGGGAAGAGAGGAATGCAAATGGAGCTCATGGCAGGTGCCTCCACGCCAGTGAAACATCAGATTTTTCTGGGATATGAATCCACACAGAAGGAAGAGACACAGGCCACCTTTCAGGGGTCGACCCCAGCACAGGCCTGGGCAGTCTGAGTTTGTTGCCCTGAGGCCCTCTTTACGTGCTGACCTGACAGCTCTTCTCTGCATCTTGCCCATTTTAACCATGAGCAAAGGGATCCTAACAATGTTGAGCCCGGTGATGATAACGGCTTGCGCTGAATGCTGACTGTGTGCCAGGTTCGCGCGCATCATCTCGTTTAATCCTTATGGCCGCGCCCCCTTGAGGCCGGTCCCAGGATTACACCCCACATTTTACAGATGAGGCTGCTGAAGCGCAGAGGAGAAGATCCTGTCCAGTCTCCCAGTCTCTAAGGGGCTTCCAGGCTCCCATCAAACTGTCTTCGGCCAGAGGCAGGGGGTCGGGGGAGGCAGCTTCTGTTAAGTCCAGATCTGGGCAGTGGCCACTGGTCTCCCAGATGCCCGGTGCCCCGGAAGGTGAGGTCTGTGGGGGGAAGAGGCCTACCCAGCTGGGGCCAGGCGGTGGGCGGCCCTGAGTCTGGAGGGAGCAGCAGCTCAGAGGCAGGTGGGCGGAGCCAAGGGGATGGGGGCGGGAGGCAGAGGTGATCGGGGAGGGGGTTGCCAAGAGAGGAGACCCCAGGGTGCAGGAATGGCCTGGGCAGGCCTGGAGCTGTAGAATG